AGTGCTGCCACTGGTGGCTGGAAGCTATATTACACAGATAGTGATGTACTAGCCCTTCTTCATACACATGTGCTAGCTTGGCTTGTTTGTTTGACACGGCGCATCAGCCCAGCATGGCAGGGGTTTGCATTTCCATTACAACAAGGCTACCCGTTTCAAGATGTGTCTTTACAGACAGAGATAGCAGGGATGGTCGACAGAGATTAAAGGACTAAAGGAAGAGAGAGGCAGGCGTTCTTTAATTCTTTAATGGCAGTTACTTGTTTTTATTAAAGAATCAACACTAAAAGCTCTGCTAATTTGGTGATAAACACATTGTTTTTACTATAAATCCTTCACAATAAAAGTCACGTTATTTTGTATTGAAAAGCTTTTATGTATTGAAGTGCAGCAAAATCAAAAGTACGGGTTTTCGTCAGCAGTAACTTAACTCGACTCCTATATAGCTGAACGTGAAACAGTAGAATAAATCAGATATCTGATGAGGAAGGCAGGACGGAAACTAAACTTCAAACCACAGAGATTTAGTTAGCTGAACACTCAGAGACTTTTAAAAACATCTCTCTCTCTGGTCTCTTATACCTGTGAGGTGAGTCTTGGAAGACTATGGAGAATACATGAGAATAAATGTATAGTTTCGAACATACTGAGCACACTGATGGTTGAAATGTAATCTGATAGTTACTAATTACCTGTTAAAGAGAATTCTATAAGACAACAGATCAATGTCACCTTTGAAAAGAAAATGGAAACAGAAATATTAGAAAATGAAAAGACTTTGAGCATCAAAAATGTGTTCTCTGCTTTGTGTATTTTTAAAAGAATAACTGGTGTATATACGTCTTTTTTTTCTGTAACTGTAATGGATTGCAGTTACCTTATGTCCTAAATTGATGTCACAACACACTAAAAAACACAATTTCTTAATCTCTTTTTCACTGTAATCACTGCGGTCTAACAGCTATACTGGTTATTTTACATGAAAGTCTTTAGTGAAACCACTCACAAAATGTTGACAATGCAGATTGGCTTGGAGTTTCTGAGTGTTAAACTACAGGGCCATTATTGTATGTGTGTATACATTTACAGATTTGTCTACACCTTTACAAATCTCAATACATTTACAAATCTGAACACGGATCAGCAAATTTTTTACACATTTACCAACCTTATTACACACACAGATTTGTAAATAGTTTTGCTACAATATTAGCTCCATATTAAACGCTTATTAATTTATGCCTAAGAATGTGTTTTTATTTATTACTTTATCTTTAATTGGAGAGTTTGTATTGAATTTGTTTTGTCACAAATACATAACACTTAAACAACTTATTTTGAGGGCCTTTAATGTGTGTGTGGTAGGGATGAGCGAGTACACTAATATCTGTATCTGTTCAACAATTAAATTGCTCTCATAATAGGTGGGGTTTAATCTGGACATGGGCAGTGCTTAAACCAGAAATCACTGTGATTAGCTGGAAATTGTTCATTTATTGTTCAGTCTGAAATTGATGTGGGTTGATCAGTGTAGAAAACTATTTACAGAGTTGAGCTTCAGAGCAGAAAAGTAAGAGAACTATTTAGACATTTTACACTATACATTGTTTCTAGGATTTACACATACATACATATCGGAGTGGTTGCACATTATTTGTTCAATAGTGTCATGGTAAGGGATATACTACTATGTCATAGCCAAGAACACAGAATAAGTGGAGTGGAACCAAATGAGATGTGTGCTTCAAGGCTTCCATGCAGGATTCTTTGAGAGGAGGGGTAGCTAAGATGCGGGCAATCTCTCTATGTCAGGCTTTTCCCGGGAGGTGTCCCAGTTGTTTTCTGTAGCCACGGCTGATGTCCCAACCAGCAGAGCTTTAGGAGATAACTAGTGGAGATTTGACCGTTTCCTCTGACAGAGAGCAGTCCGGAGAGGCTGCTGCTGCTGAAGGTAAATAAGTTGCACTCTGTTGTTATTAGTGATGCTGAACTGTTTAATAAAATGAATTCCATTTTGAATAAGCACCTCTGTGTTCCCCTGTTGCTGAGGGCAAATACTGCTGAATTAGCGGCAACATCACTGCTGTTCATATCGAGTTGGTCCACTGGGGCGTGAAGTCAGCCGTGACCAGAATCTTTGCATTAAAAGTGTGTAGTGTAGACACGTGTGTGTGTGCATTTCCCTGATTTTCTTTCTCTGGTAAAAAGGTCATTAGTACCTTTCAGTTTATGTTTATTTTTCACAGATTATCTGCCTATTTTGTCTTTCTCTATGTCTGAGTCTCTCTCTGACCAGATACTGTATATTTGTGATCATGAACTTGGAAATGGGAAAGTCACAGGGAGCTGTTTTTGTTTTTGGATATCTGTTAGTGTGACTTTCATCTAAACAAAGAGATCAGATTTTCTGGTCCTTGCACCATGAACTCCTCCACACCGCCCTGAGATAGCAATAATCTTACAGCCCAGGTGAAACCGCAGGGCTGCTGTTGTTTCACCTTTAAATGTGATATACTGGTTACAGGCTTGTAAATATGCCTCAAGGTGATAACTTGAATTATCATTTCTGCCTTCTATGGCTATGTATCCTTTGCAGATGATGATGTAGTGACGTGGTTTGCAGAGGTAGGTAGTAACGAGTTACATTTACTTCGTTACATTTACTTGAGTAAGTTTTTGAAAAAAATATACTTCTAGGAGTAGTTTTAAATCACTATACTTTTTACTTTTACTTGATAGATTTGTGAAAGAAGAAACTGTGACTCTTTACTCCCGGCTACATGAGCTCGTACTTTTGGTTCATTTGTTTGTATCCCTTCCGTACGCCCTTCATTTTAATGTTTATTTTGACAGAGAGAGAGAGACTTCCGCTCGTACCACGTGAGCTGGTTCACCAATCAAACGTGTAGTTGGTGCAGTCTCGTCACGTGACCATACTCCAATCTCAGCGGCGCGGGACGGGTTAGCTTTACAGTCGTAGCAAACAAAAATGTCAGAATCAACCGTCGGCAATGCAGACACAGACATTTGGACTTTACAAAAAACAACACAGACTTATTTCCCAACTTTTTATTGTGAAATGAGGCCCTGAAAATGATTTTTTTGTGTGTGTTTGGTACCTGCCATGCTTTTACAGTAGCTCTAGCTAGGCTAAGCTAAGCTAAATAGGGCCTTTTGCATTTTTTGCAAGTTTAGCGGCCATCATAGTTTCTCCTTGGTTGAGTCAGTGGTCAGTAGTTACAATCTGCAATCTAACCATTAGATGTCACTAAATCCTACACACTGGTACTTGAAGGTGTGTGGTCCATAATTAAGAAACCTTTTGTTGTTCCACTCTCCTATAGGAGGTTTTTTGACAGTTTTCACATTGAACACCTCATTCAAAACTATGAATACAAATTGGATTCTTATAGCAGAATGGAGCTTGTTTCTTCTTTGTAAATGGAATAAAATATTACACTGTCCACTATGGCATGCTGCCTTCACCACCTTTTAACTGCTGTATGCCATTTACCACTGTGACATTCAAGTCATTACCCAAGATAGCTATCGCACTCCCCACTGTGAGTGTGTGCTGGCTTATAGTTAAGGATAAAAGTAGTTTGATGACCTTGAAAATAGTAGTTTGACAAACAAACCCCAACTCAAGGTACACTTATTAACTTTTTTTCCGTAGCTTTCAATTTTAAGATAACATGAACAAAAAGTCCTAAAAGATGATGGATGAAATCACAAAAACTACTAAGCTCGTATGCCAGCAGATCCATCTCCATAACAAGACTGATATAGTGAATAGACCTTGAGTTGGAGTTGTTTTGCCTAAGCATGGGAAAGTGGAGGATACTACAGCAATGAGGTTTATATCATGCCTGTGGTCATGTGAAACTGTTCAACAATCACACATGGCTGTACTGTTTGGGGCATTCATTTCCCATAAACACAAGAACGCATTTGGTATTCATAATGTCTCATAATGTATTTTTGACCAAATGCATCTGTGACTATATCTATACTGGAAAGAATGTCCTCCAATAGTAAAATATGTGCTACCAAGACCCAAGTATGATTAATCTGAGCAGAGCCACTTGATTTATTCTACTCGATATAGAGAGAAGGAGTTTCTGTCTCTCTTACAGAAAAATGACTTGAGCATCTTTGTCAAGTCCAACAACACCGCACTCCAGTTCTGATATTTTATTCAGCACAAGTAGACGTTTCTGGCGAGGCACCTTTCTTCAGCGTGCAACAGGCAACCCCGTTTGTCACAGGTGTACCTGCATTTACAGTATCATCAGCCTGAGGCAGAGGCAGACATCTACTAAACCATACCAAAGTCAGATGTAAATATATTGGAAAAAAATGTATTGCAGCATTCTGGAGGTTGGCACGGATATGCCTCCCAGCAAGAACCTGCATGGGCAGTGGATTTATGGATATAAGCCTCACTGTGTATGTATAAGGTTAAATCTGCTCTCTATTTAGTCTTCCTGCGAACTCCACTCTACAATACTCAATACTCAATATAAACAAATAGTACAACCTGCAACAAAATGAATGACATAAGTCATTAAGAAGTACATGATCAATCAATGATTTTAACTATATATAATCTTTACTTTACATATAGTATATATTTTTAGTTTATTATTACAAGTAGCATGAATGGAACCACAAACCTGAATTTCACTATACAACCCTCCATTTAAAATGACTCTTAAATGACCTTGTATCCTTGTATCAATTGTTTGGTCTGTAAAATGTCAGAAAAGAGTGAAACATGGCCAACACGATTTCAGTCTAAGGTAACATCTTTTTTGTTTTGCCACAATAACAGTCTACTTTTATAACAGGTTTACCACATGCCTGGGAGA